CTTCAAGAACTCTATTACCACTTTTGCGTCGTTGGTAGGCAATGCAACAGCTTCCACCTACTTAGAGACATAGTCAACGGCCACCAAGATATATTGATTTGAGTACGATGGGGGAAAAGGTCTCATAAAGTCTATTCCCCATACATCAAATATTTCAACCTCCAAGATGTAGTTTAGTGGCATCTCATTTCTTGTTGAGATATTTTCGGTTTGTTGGCATCTATCGCATCTCTTCACATACTCGAATGTGTCTCTGAATAAAGTAGGCCAATAGAAACCCGACTGTAGGATTTTTGCTGTCTTTGAAGCTCCAAAATGCCCAACATATGCAGAAAAGTGACAATGCTCTAGAATCTCCAGTACTTCATCTTCAGGAATGCATCTTCTGATTATCTGATCTGCGCCTCTTCTGTAGAGAATGGGATCCTCCCAAAAGTAATACTTCAACTCTGCGAAGAACTTCTTTCTTTGATGGCTAGAATACTCTGGTGGAGGAATGGACTTAGCAAGGTATTTAACAATATTAGCGTACCATGGGACTATTTCTACTCCAAAAATTTGCTCATCTGGAAAGATTTCATTGATGTCAACTGACATCTCAGGTTCATTCCGTTCCAATCTTGATAGGTGGTCGACTACCACATTTTCACTGCCCTTCTTATCCTTGATCTCAATATCGAACTCTTGCAACAACAATATCCAGGGGATCAATCTCGGCTTAGCATCCTTCTTTGTCATAAGGTACTTCAAAGCGGCATGATCTGTGTAGATGATGACCTTAGACCTAACAAGATACGATCTGAACTTGTTGAATGCATAAACCACAGCTAGCAATTCCTTCTCGGTTGTCGCATAGTTGATTTGAGCGTCGTTCAAAGTTCTACTTGCATAGTATATCACATGAAAAATTTTATTCTTTCTTTGTCCCAATACCGCACCAACTGCATGATCACTCGCATCGCACATTAGCTCAAAGGGCAAATCCCAATCAGGTAACACAATCACAGGCGCTGTTGTTAATTTTTGCTTCAAAGTATTGAACGCTATCAAAAATTCCTCATTAAATTCAAAAGATACCTCTTTCATTAGCAAGTTGCACAGAGGCTTGGTGATTTTGGAGAAGTCCTTTATAAACCTCCTGTAAAACCCTGCATGCCCAAAGAAGCTTTGAATTCCTTTTACTAATGTAGGTGGTGGTAGTTTCTCAATAACCTGAATTTTCGCCTTATCCACCTCTATCCCCTTTGCCGATACTCTATGTCCCAAGACTATTCCCTCTTGAACTATGAAATGACATTTCTCCCAATTCAATACTAAGTTCGTTTCTTTGCATCTTTGCAAAACCAAATTTAAGTGATCTAAACACTCATCAAATGAGGTCCCAAAGATCAAGAAGTCATCCATAAAGATTTCAATGAATTTCTCCACCATATCTGAGAAAATTGTCATCATGCATCGCTGAAATGTGGCAGGAGCATTGCAAAGTCCAAATGGCATTTTTCGGTATGCAAAGGTACCATAGGGGCATGTGAAGGTGGTCTTCTCCTGATCATCCGGTGGCACTGGTATCTGATTATAACCCCAATACCCATCTAGAAAACAGTAGTGGGAATGGCCTGCCAATCTCTCCAACATCTGATCTATAAACGGAAGAGGGAAGTGATCTTTCCTTGTAGCGGTATTTAGTTTGCGGTAATCAATGCAAACTCTCCACCCTGTTACCATCCTTGTCGAAATCAACTCATTCTTTTCATTGTGAACCACTGTAATTCCTCCTTTCTTGAGCACAACTTGCACTGGATTAGTTCATTTACTATCTGATATCGGGTAGATTATTCCAGCATCCAGAAGTTTGATCACCTCAGCTCTTACTACCTCCTTCATGTTTGGGTTTAGCCTCCTTTGACTTTCAACTATTGGTCGAAAATTCTCCTCCATGAGAATTTTATGCATACATAAGGAAGGGCTGGTCCCCTTGATATCTGCCATGGTCCACCCAATTGCTTGCTTGTTATCTCGAAGCACCCTAAGCAGTTTTTCCTTCTCCACTTCACTAACCATGTTTGAAATTATCGCTGGAAGTGTATTAGACTCCCCCAAATATGCATATCTTAAGTGTGGGGGCAACTGCTTAAGTTCCAACTTTGGTGGCTTCATAATAGATGGCTGTGATTTCTCAAGCCTTGTCCCAAGCTCCTCAAAGTATCGTTTCCGTGTGTAAGGTGGGTTAGATTCCAAAAATCTTACACACATTTCTATGTACACAGAATCAAATTTTGTGGATTGAGAATGTACAATGCAGGCTTCCAATGCATCTGATGGATTTTGCAGTGTAAACGACTCTTCAATCATTTTATCGAACATGTTAACCCTGAAACAGCTATCAGTCTCTATTGGCAGTTTCATAGCCTTGAAGACATTGAATGAAACCTGTTCGTCTCCCAATCTCAGTATCAACTGCCCATTCTGAACGTCGATCAAAACTCTGTCTATGGCCAATAATGGTCTACCCAGTATTAAAGGAACATCTTTATCTTCTTCCATATCCAGGATCAGAAAATCTGCTGGGAATATGAACTTCTCCTCTTTAACCAATACGTCCTCAATTATTCCTCGTGGATGTGTCAATGATCTGTCAGCCAGCTGTAAGGTCACCGTGGTAGCTTTAGCTTCTCCCAATCCTAATTTCCTGAAAACAGACAATGGCATTAAGTTAATACTTGCACCAAGATCACATAAAGTTTTATCAAAATAAACTTCACCAATGGTACAAGGGATAGTAAAACTCCCCGGATCTTTCAATTTTGGCGGAAGCTTTCTCTGAATCCTGGCACTGCACTCCTCTGTTAGCATAACTGTCTCGTGATCTCCTAGCTTCCTTTTGTTTGATAGGATGTCTTTCAGGAATTTTGCATAGCTAGGCATCTGAACCAGTGCTTCAGCGAATGTTATGTTGATATAGAGCTTCTTGAAGACCTTAAGAAACTTCTTGTATTGCTGTTCCATCTTTTGCTTCTTCAGCCTCTGTGGAAACAGTGTGAGTGGCTCATATGGGTTCACAGTTACAGTCTCTTTATCCCTTGAGTTTCCTTTATTTGCTCTCGGTGTTGGCTCTTTTGTCTGCTCTTCTTGCTCCAAAATCTCTTCTACTTCAGGAGACATCGCTTCTCTATTTACCTCGGGGTTATTCACTTGTCTCTCAGGTAATTCCACTCCACTTCTCGTTGTTATAGCCTTTGCATGCTCTTTCGGATTGACTTCTGTGTTACTTGGCAAGCTGCCTGGTGCTCTACCTGTTAATGCAACTGCTATATGTCCCATCTGAGTTTCCAAATTCTTGATGGCTGCATTTTGGTCCTGAAGAGTGGCTTCTGTCTTCTTCATGAATTGGTTGTTCGCCTCCAT